ATGACTAAAAAAATTATAAATGAAATACGTAATCGAACAATACAGATGCTTTTATTGACCAAAAGTGTTGATGGTACATATGGTGTTTTAATGTTTTTATTCATATTGACCAATGGTCCAATGAATGCATATTTAACAATGATTATTTCAATCAGAACAATTTCATTTGCTGAACGATTATTACAACAAGCAACTGCTATTAATCAATGGTCATATATATTTGTATTTCATTATATTGCTATTCGTTTTGGTCATTATTTACATTTACCATCTAAATATTTAATTAATCATTATTATGAATATTCATATTTAAATCGTAAAATAAATTTTCGTGATCGTTTACAATTTTCTGTTTGGTTGGAAAAATTTCATACAAAAAAACGTTATGGTTTAACATATGGTCGTACTAATCTGATTACAATGGCTACATTTTTTCAAGTATAAATTCTTAAATTTCTTCAAAATTATCAATTTTATCAATTTTCTTTTTCCATTTTCATTCCTAAATTCTAGTTTATTTTATTCTATGCCAAATTTATGATGATTTCATACAAATTAATGGATAAATAAGTTTGGTTTATTTATATTGGGTCATTTGCACTTTATCTAAATTAATGGAAATGGAATAAAACAATGACAACAACGACAAAATGACTAACAGAATATGCAGAAAAATTGAATGAATTTGGGGGAAAAAACAGGGGAAAGAGAAAAGTCATCGGTTGTCATGATTTCAATTGATTAGTTTTTCTTCATTTTTTCCCGAACAAAATTAAAAAACCAATATACCGAAAAAAAAACCATTAGTAATCATGAAATATGGAAAAAGTTTTTGTTTTCGTGTCATTAAAAATATTTCACAAAATAAAAACTTGAACATTAATGACAAATTATATTTATTATTCAAAAAAAAAACAATCGATTCGAAAAAAGCAAAAAAACAAAAAAAATAAAAGTATTTTTTTTATAAAAACGAATTACGCAAATAAAAATTACAAACAACAAAAAAATTATTCAAATTTTTTTTTTCATAACGATATTTCATTTCGATTTAGTATTTGGTTTACATATCAATTTGAATTCTTTTCAATCAGCTTCTTTCTTTCTTTTGTTTGTTTGTTTGTTAAACCAAAAAAAAAAAATGTTACAAAATCAAATTCAACGAATCCGATTTTCGATGAAATTATATTTGGGAAAATTTTTTCAAAAAAATAATGTTTCAACATTNGTAGTAAATTTTGATTGGATTAATATGGCTAAAATTGATAATATGTTAAATCTTTATTTAGCATCATTTGGTTTTATAACTGTTTATTATGTTTATATACTTTATTTTTATAATAATAATCGTGTAACACAATTAATTTTTAGTGTTTTAATTAATGGTGATCAAAGATTTTTTATAAGTGAAAAATTATTAAATACCAGTCAACAAAATGTTGATCAACGACAAAAATTTGTTCGACAAATTCGTTTTTGGCTTAATATTTATTATCATTCATTTCATTTGCTTTATTTGGTTACATGTAATTATCGATATTTGAAAAATATTTACAAACAAAAAATTTTTGATTATAAAATATTTCTATTATTTGTAGATATTTTGGGAATAATTTATGAAATTCAAATTATGAAATTTTTTATGAAAATTGGATATTTTTCATCTTGTTCGGGTATTATTAGCATTATAATACAATCTGTTCAGTTAATCTTTGTTGCTATTGGCGGTATAATAACATTGGATATTTTATTCTTGCTTGGTTCTTGTTTTCTTTCAATTACATTGATTTCATTTACAAAATTTGGACAGATTAAAAGGAAATGTTTGGAACAAAAACTAAAAAAATCAAAAAAAATTACGAAAAATTTTTTAAATGAATTACGTTATCGAACAATACAGATGCTTTTATTGATTAAAAGTATTGATAATACATATGGTGTTTGTGTGTTTTTGCTCATATTATTCAGTGGTCCAATGAATGCATATTTAACAATGATTATTTCAATCAGAACAATTCCATTTGCCGAACGATTATTACATCAAGCAGCTATGATTAATCAATGGTCATATATATTTGTATTTCATTATATTGCTATT